GGTGGGAGTGTAAACTTGTACATCTACTTTGGAAATCAGTATGTTTGTTTCTCAGAAAATTGGGAGTCAATCTGCCTCAAGACTCAATGGTAAAACTCCTGGGCATGTAGCCAAGGCATGTTCAATCATACCACAAGGACAATTGCTCAGCTATGTTCATATCAGCATTATTCATAATAGCCATAACCTGGAAACAATCTAGATGCCCCTTAACAAAAGAATGGAATGGATAAATAAAATATGGTACATGTACACAGTGGAGTGAGTATTACACAGTTGTAAAACATTAAGGCTTTTAAAACCAGAATAGTACATACAAGGGAATTGAACTGGCTGGTTACTAGTAAGCTGTATCAGTGCCTTCAGTGGGATAATGAAAAACTGGAGGCAATTAAGAAACAATGAAAATTAAGTAGGAAGGAAGGAGGAACATTTTCATTGATTACAGTGCTTGAGCAAGATAATTGGATATTAAACTCAAGGATTAATAGGGTTATAAATCTTCAAAGGAGGTATCAGCTGAGGAGATCTATTATGCTTGTGGATAAAAACGTATGTAAAGTTTATTACAAAGGTTTTGAGTACCTGAGCTCACTTGAGTCTGGGAACCTGTCTAGAGAGATAGGAGCCCGTTTTTCCAGCAAAGGATCTTGGTTTAGACTGCAGCAGTTCTCAACCTGTGTACCATGAGCCCTTTGGGGATGAATGGCACTCTCACAAGGGTCACTTATCAGATATTTAACATTAAAATTCATAACAGTATCAAAATTACAGTTATAAAGGAGCAACAAAATAATTTTATGGTAGAGGGTCACCACCACCTGAGGAATGGTGTGTGTGTGTGTGTGTGTGTGTGTGTGTGTGTGTGTGTGTGCGCGTGTGTGCTGATGTACATGTTTCTGTGTACCTCTTTAGAGTATATTTATCACTTTCTGCCTTAGTCTTTTGAGAAAGGGTCTCTTAGTGAACCTGTGGCTAGGGCAGCAGCCAGCAAAGCCCAGCAATCCACCTGCCCCTGCCTCCCACAGTCCTGGGGTTACAGGTGTGTTTGGCAATGCATGGCTTTTTATATGGCTGCTGAGTGTACCCATTGAACCATCTCCCCAACCACAGGAAGTCTCGAGGATCCCTTCTCATTGCGGAAGTTTACTAGGTCATTTGAACCTTTACAATAATAGCAAAAGCACTGCATAACACTGGGTTTTTTACATCTATACCAAGAGTTCTCTCCTGAATGCAAGAGACATCTATCCACCTAAGCTGCTTAAATAATGGCTCACCCTGAATTTCTGGTGGTTTTCCAGGACAGTAGAGCACAGAGAGTTGAGGTGGTTATTGTTTGTTTGTTTTGTTTTTTAAAGTCAACATTAACACTTGACTTCACAGGACGACTCAAGAGAAACAGACATACAGAATTTTGAATATCTTTTTTTTGTGTGTGTGTGCCAGGAGTTGAACACAGTTTGAACACAAAGCTGAACAGTGCTCCACCACTGAGCAACACACACTGACTAACATCAAAAGGGTACATGCCTGACAACACTTGCCTGCCTGTTGTGGTAGCTCTATAATCTCTGCACTTAGAGAGGCCTGAGGCAGCTTCTAGCCTTGCGAGAGCTATGTAGTCTCAAGCAAGCCTGACAGAATCAGCTGGGAGTTTGGTGATCCATAGATTTGCACAGAATAAAGAAAAGAGTTCCCAGGCTATCAGTATGGCTCAGTGTTAAAATGCTCACATTGAAAGCCTGACACCCTGAGTTTTCTTCTGAGAACCAACAGTTGGAGGAGAGAATCGACACTCAAGTGGATTTCTGATTTCCACACACATGCCACATTACATGTCACACATACAAGCACATTAATAATAATGGTTTTATAATAATTATACATTTTAGCTAGGCATGGACTTTGGTATCAGAGGCAGAAAGATCTTTGTGGATCTGAGGCATGCATGACCTACACAGTGAGTTCCAAGACAGCCATGGGTACATTGAAAGATTCTTTTTTAAACAAATAAAATAGATTTAAAAAAATGTCTTGACCCATCACTTCCCCAGTTGCTGGCCAGCAGGGAAGACTCCTGTGGGCAGGCTCCCCCACAAAACCCCTCATCAGACATTGCAATCTACAAGACCCTTGCCCTCCCCCAAACCTACACATCTCCCTATAACCCCAGTGGCTTCCTGAGACACAGAAACCACTGGCTCTCATTGGACCAAGAGCAGCTTCCTTAGACTCAGAACCCACCACCTTTCATTGGACCAAGAGGGGCTTCCTGAGACACAGAATCCACCAGCTCTAATTGGACTAAGAGCTCTGATAGCACAAAGAGTGGCTCCTTGAGACAACAATTTAGCCAGCTCAGATTGGACAAAGTGCAGCTCCCTGAGACACAGAATCTATCAGCTCCAATTAGACCAAGAGCTAAGACTGGACCCCGAGTAGCCAGCCCCCTGAGACACAGACATAACAAGCACAGATTGGACCAAGAGCAGCTTGCTCAGACACATAGCTCTTGCACCTATTGGAGGAAGGGATGGTTAGATACCAGTGCAAAAATACATACAATATATGGAACAATATGGTACTACCAGAACCTAGCGGTTCTACAACACCAAGACCTGAACATCATAATGTAGAAGAAGCAGAAGAAAGCAACCTTAAAAATAACTTTATGAAGTTATTTTATGAAGATGATAGAGGCTTTTAAAGAGGGAATAAAAAATTTCCTTTAAAAAATTGAGGAAAAAAAACAAGCAAAAAATTGGAAAAACTCAATAAATCCCTTAAAGAAAAGCAAGAAAACCATGAAAAAAGCAATTAAACAGGTGAAGGAAACAGTTCAAGACCTGAAAATTGAAATAGAAACAATGAAGAAGACACAGACTGAGGGAATCCTGGAAATAGAAAATCTGAGTAAATGAACAGGAAACACAGATGCAAGGATAACCAACAGAATAAAAGAGATAGAAGAGAGAATCTCTGGCATGGAGGATACAACAGAGGAAATAGATTCATCAGTCGGAGAATACACCAAAGCCAAAAAAGTCATAACACAAAATGTCCAGGAAATCTCAGACACCATGAAAAGGCCAAACCTAAGAATAATAGGGATAGAAGAAGGAGAATACCAACTCAAAGGCACAGAAAATATATTCAACAAAATCATGGAAGAAAACTTTCCCAACTTAAGGAAGGAAATACTTTTGAAGGTACAAGAAGCTTATAGAACACCAAACAGACTAGACAACCAAAAAAGTCCCCTTGCCACATAATAAGTAAACAACTAAACATACACAATAAAGAACGAATATTAAGAGCAGAAAAGGAAAAGGGCCAAATGACTTATAAAGGCAGACCCATCAGAATAACACCTGACTTCTCAATGGAGATTTTTGAAAGCCAGAAGTTCCTGGACAGATGTTATGCAGACACTAAAAGACCATGGATGCCAGCCTAGACTAATTTACCCAGCAAAACTTTTAATCACCATAGATGGATTGAACAAGACTTCAATGCAAAACCAGATTTAAACATTACCTGTCCACAAATCCTGCCCTACAGAAAGCACTAGAATGATAACATCTAGGAAGTCAGATACACACATGAAAACAGAGGCAATAGATAACCCCACAGCAGCAAGCCCCAAAGAAAAGAAATACACACCACACACTACCACCAAAAGATAACAGAAATTAACAATCACTGGTCATTAATATCCCTTTATATCAATGGACTCAACTTGCCTATAAAAAGATACAGGCCAACAGAAGAGATAGGAAAACAGGACCAATCTGCTGCATACAAGAAACACACTTCAAAGACAGACACTACCTCAGAGTAAAAGGCTGGGGAAACACTTTCCAATCAAATGGATTTAAGCAAGCTGGTGTAGTTATCCTAATATCTAACAAAATAGACTTCAAACTAAAATCCAATCAAAAGAGATTGGGAATTACATTACATATTCATCATAGAAAAAATCCACCAAGATAAAGTCTCAATGCTAAACATTTATGCCCCAAATACAAGGGGGTCCACAAATGTGAAAGAAACAATACTAAAGCTTAAATCACACATGAAACCTCACACGTAAATATTGAGTGAGACTTCAACATCTCACTCTCAACAATGGACAGGTCTGCCAGTCAGAAACTTAATAAAGAAATAACACTATATTCCTTATCAATTTTCATAAATAAAGGAATTAGTCTTTACCCAGGTATAGAAAATGGAAAGGTCATAAAGTGCTTAGTCTTCAAACAGAGTCAGACATTGGATAAGATACAGCCAATATTCTGTCTTGTTTTAGGCAGTGGATTAATTTCAGTTCAGGTAACAAATGTATGTTTTTGTTAGGGGAAACTTCAGTTCAACTTTAAGAGAGGCAGTTTGTACAGGCAAAAGTCAATACATTGGCTATTGATCTCTCTCTCTCTCTCTCTCTCTCTCTCTCTCTCTGTGTGTGTGTGTGTGTGTGTGTGTGTGTGTGTGTGTGTGTGTTGCATATGTCTGTGCTGGCTTGCAGGTAAGAGGAAGATATTGGTATCTTGTTCTATCATTCTCCATCTTATCCAGTTGATTTAAGGTCTCATGAATGTGGAGCTAGACTTACAGCCAACAAGCCCCCATGATGCCCATGTCTCTGCCACCCACATTACTGGGGCTACAAGTGCATGCCTACACTTTTTTTATGTGCATCTTGCAGATTTAAACACAGGTCACTGTATGTGGGCAGCAAGCACTCTTGTTTTCTGAGCCATCTCCTAAGTTGTTGAGTTGTTTGTTTTGTTTTTTTTTAAACTGGAACTATGAGTGAGTCTTGATTGAATGTTTTATAGATTGAAATAAGTTAAAGCTCACAAAGACAACCAGAAGCTTTAAAACACAAATCAACTTTTTATTTTATAAATGCAGAAATGTCACTGTGTAAGTAATGGATCTTCCACCAGATTTGCTCAAATGACTAAATCCTCCCATTGCATGTTCTTATCCTAAAGGCTCTCTGACAAACCTAACCCTGATGTTCCTAGGCCTTCAACAGAGGACAATGACAGTACCCCTGTTATTAAGGTAAAATGTTTCTTTGTGAAATTCCTTTTCTCATGAATTTTGTTGCAATGCAACAGTAGTCTGTCACACTTTCATATGGAAAGTTGGTCTGAGGACACCATTTTGTAAGTCTGAAACTTTGTTGCTTAATCTTTTCTTTAACCTTCAAGTAGGTAGTCAGTCCTTTTAGATAGTGGTGGCCAATTCAGAGAATGGCCTGGAAAAGTGTAGTGAGTAGAAGACTGAGTGCTGTTCTCCCATAATAGAAGATGCCTGATGTTTGATCAAGGACTGTTTGCAGAAATAAATGCACATTAGAGTGATTTTAAAACATAACTCTGACAATACACCTAAATACATTTTAATGGTCAGAGTTAGTAATTTCAGTGATCTGGGAATCTATCAGTTGTCTTCAATTTTAGTATAAATGCAGTAGGTTTTATGTTACCTTGGACACTCCTATTTTATGACCATATATGAGAGTGTGTCCTCTGTTTATGTTTCAGCTTCTGTATTTATACTTACAAGAATTGTGGAAATTTTGACATGTGTAATCTGTTCATCAAAATTTGCATTATAAAGAGACTGCATCATGTTTTCTATTTGATTACACTAAGAATATATTTAAAACTCTTCATCTAGTTAATCAATTTGTAATTTTCCCCATTTAGAAACCCATTTTAGAATTGATGATTCATAGCACATAGTAACATTTTAAGTTTTGATTTTTTGTTTCATTTTAAAATAACAGACACTTGCATTCTAGTATTAGACAGAAGAAGGCTTTTATTTAGATAAATATGTATGCATATTAAAACTACTCCATAACCATGAGCTTCTAGAGGTGTGTGTAACTTGGAGCCCTAGAGTGAGGTTTTGTGTGGATCATAATTGCTTTTTGAAGAGTTTGAATGTGAATAATGGACAAATAGGTTTTCTAAAGCATTTTCACAGGTACTGTGATTTATATAACATTAGTAATTAAATCAGTGTTTATTTTTAAAAGAAGAATGTAAATGGAAAATAATGTGTATTTTTATTTCCCAACCATGAAAGAAGATAAATATTGATGAAAGTGGGACTATTAACACTAATGATCAACCATCTTATACAGGATTTAGTGTATCAGGGTCCTTTCTGTTGTTCCCTTGGTGGAGGGGGCCAAGTAGGCGCAGAGTCAATGGCGGAGACTCCCGGAGAATGTCGAAAGAACAAGCTCAGTTCATTCAGTTAGAGGCAAGCCTTATATACCCTCCACCCCTCCCTGGGGGGAGGTCTGATGAATATGCATTAGCTGGTGTGACATGGCTGTCTCTCATTGGTCCACGTCATCTCCAGATCATGTTTCAGCTGCTGTTGCTAAGGCCCTTAGGCAGACCCAGGCTGGCTCTCAGAAAGTATCTTTTTTACTTGGCTGGGCCTCAAGCCTGCTAGAGATGAGTCATCCCACAATTTAGAAGTATTCAAACATAGTGAATTAAGTTTGTTCCAACCACAATGGCAAGGCTAAGATTCTTAGTTTATGATTTTCACATATTCTAGGCTAGCATAAATATTTTTGCTTCTTAATGATGTCTTAGTAATTAGTGAATTGGTAAGCATATATGAAGATATTTCATTGTTAAATATTAGTATCTCCTCTTTTGTGTCAATACCCTGTGAGTATGAAGGAATAAAGTACTTTTGAAAACATGTCCCCCCCAAACAAAAATGAAAAAAAAAAAAGATAATTTTAGAACCAATCCAAGAAAGTTAATCCTCTATGTTTTCATTGCAGAAAATATGTTAAAATGCAGAAATGAAGATAAACGACAGAGAGTGTATCCCTGTGTAGACTTCATCACAGTTTTTATGTCAGAGCAGAAGAAAGGTAAAGGAGGGTGTTTGAAAACATTTAGAAGACATGAAGTTGTTTGTCCTCAGGGAGAGTGACTACTTAGTACCTCTGAAGGACAAATTCAAGTCCCCCTAATTGAAAAAGTAAAATATTTGCTTGTCAAGGATATGATGCATCTGTGTTCTTATGTCTGCAGTTTTGTAGATGGTGTCAGAAAAGAGGAGCTCAGCCTCAAACATGTGCTGGACCTCCTTCACCCCCTCCCTCCCAGGAACACCTTGCTAGTCACTTTGTAATGTGGAACTGATAATAAATGAAATATGGAAATAAAAATTCAGAAGATGAACACATGTTTAACCCAAGTCAGGAGAATTCATCAAAATACAGAGAATAAATAATAAAGGCTCCTGGATTATTTACAGTCAACATGAAAAGTAACCAACTTGTTTGTGTGCTTTAAATTTATTTATTTTATGTATATGGATGTTTTTCCTGCATTCTGTTTGTGTACCATGGGTGTGTGCTGCCCACAAGGTCAAAAGAGGGCATTTGAACCCCTCAAATTGAACTTACAGATGGTTGTTGGCTACCAAATGGATGCTGTGAATTGAACCTAGTCCTCTGCAATGGTAATAAATCTTCTAAACTGCTGCTCCATGTAGCCCCCTGAACAAATGTTTAATATACCAATGGTTATAGTATTAGCTAAGATTTCATAAGTGAAAATAAGTAGCCAGTCTCAGGATGTTAGCCAACTTCTTAGAGCCCAGGCATCATCGGCTTGCCTGTTTTACACATTGAAATGCAGTGAACATACAGGCAGGAAGAAAAGCAATAGGAGCCTGGGCGTGTTGGCACATGCCTTTCTTTAATCCCAGCACTGAGGAGACAGTCAGGTAGGTCTCTGTGAGTACAAGTACATCCTGGTCTCAATTTAGTTAGAGGGATGGGGGAAGTCAAAGCACATGTGTGCCATAGCAGAAGTGTGGAGTTAAAAACAATAATTTTGGGGAGTCAGTTTTCTCCTTATACCATGTCAGTCTCAGGGATCAAATAGGTTGTCAGTCTTTTTGTCTTTATCCACTTATCCATCTCATGGCTCTCTGATTTACCCTTTGAGTAAAAATATTTCATCAATACACACACACACACACACACACACACACACACACACACACACACACACACACAGAGAGAGAGAGAGAGAGAGAGAGAGAGAGAGAGAGATTACCGTATTTGAGCTCTTGGCTACTGTTTTGGAAGATTGTTTAACTTTGGGATATGGCTTAGCTAGCAGAAGAAAGTTGCCTGTGATGGGTCTTAATGGTCATCACCACTTCTGGTACTAGTTCTGAGTTGTCTGCTTCCTGGTATACCACAACATGAGAAGCAACAGACCAAGTCACCCCCTTTGTCTTCCACACTGTATTGCACTGAAATTCCTGACAATCGTGAGCCTTCCTTCATTAAGTAATTTCTGTTAGATGTTTGTAAAAAAACAATTAGAAAAGTAACAGCTCTCTTTTCTGTTTTAATACTACACTCAAAATTATAAAGCAGGAAAAGAGACAGCTCTTTTTTTTTTTGCAGACCTCACTTATACCAAATGCTCATCTCCACTGCAACTAATTAATTGCCTTCAATTATCTAACCTCAACATTAGGAGTGAAAAGGGGCAGATTAGATATAATCACTACACCTAATGAAACCATTACTCACTGTGACTTTAATATGGTTAAAAATCAAAAAGAAATGTTTTTTCTTTTAAGCCTAATATAAATTAGAGTCCAAATTAACATTAGGTAGTATATGTGTGGTTGTTTTGAGTGAAAATTGTCCTGATAGATTCATAGGGGATGGCACTGTTTCATTGAGTGGCCTTATTATACTAAGTGTGTTGCTAGGGGTGGACATTGAGGTTTAAGAAGCTCAAACCAGGCCTAGTGTCTCCTTTCCTTTCTTCTGCCTGTGGTTTCAAATATAGAACTCTCAGCTACCCTCTCCAATACCATGTCAGCCTGAGTGCTGCTATGCTTCCTACCATGACAGTAATGGACTAAAACTCTGAACCTCTCAGTCAGCCCCAATTAAATATTTTCCTTTATAGGAGTTACCATGACTAAGGTCTCTTGTCACAGCAATAAAACCCTAAGACAATATGTCATCAAAAGGGATCACTTAGCAGGGAGAGATATCTCAAGTACTATTAATAAGAAAAGAAATCAGGCCGGGTGGTGGTGGTGCACACCTTTAATCCCAGCACTTGGGAGGCAGAGCCAGGTGGATCTCTGTGAGTTCGAGGCCAGCCTGGTCTACAGAGTGAGTTCCAGGAAAGGCTCAATGCTACACAGAGAAACCCTATCTCAAAAAACAACAACAACAAAAAAAAAAAAAGAAAGAAAGAAATCAGAAAAACCTTCTGAATCAATTATATCTAGGTAAGTCAGAGTGAATGATCTATTGTTTGGCAGGCATGTTTTCCTCAATCTCTGAAGACTGAAGAAGGAATTATAGAATGTATCTAGGTTACTTTAAGACTCTAAAGAACTAGAATTATGGCTCGGAGGGTCAGAGCACTTATTGCTCTTGTAGAGGACCTAAGTTCTGTTTCCAGCACCCTTGTCACTTGATTCATAACTGCCTGGAATTCCAGGTTCAGAGAAAGCAACACCTCAGGCCTCCATAAGCACATGTACTCATGTACACATATCCACAGACATCATTTTTAAAAAATCAATCTTAAAAATGCAAGAAAATATTGAATATATTATTTTGTTTCATTTTCATGTTTAAAAACGAATTTGACATTCATCTCAAATTTCCAATAAAGAACTAAATTAAATTTTTTTAAATTTTAGGTTAAAATTGTCTATAGGAACAGTTGGTAAACATAAACTATAGTAATCTATGGTTACTTCAAGGTGAATTTTATTTTCAGAAACATCTTTAGACTCAAGGCCAATTTGTTTTCCTGGATAGACTCTGCATTCATGTGTTTAATTTCCTGATAATATGAAGGGTGATTAACTTTGAGACATGAATTAGATGGTTAAAGTTGAGCAATGTGACACTGGTAGCCAGTGGGTTAGATGCCTTAAATGTGTAGTTTCATGTTCTGAGGGACTCCTACTAAGTTCATAGAACTACTTCTGTCTCATAGTTCTAACTGTCTTCAGTGTTTTTAGTCAGTTTTCAGCATTTCAGATAGAGTGGGGTAAAATCTTTTAATGCAGGGATTGCTTTTCCATGTTAAAAATCATCTAATTCGCTTTGTTTTGCAAACTTAATGTATACATGTATGTGTATATATATATGTATACATGTATATATATATATATATATATATATATATATATATATAATTATTCTGACTTCTAAATGAGAGCCTCAGGTGAATTGCAAAACATATATAGAGATATTTAACTGTTAAACACTTATTTGTTTCTACTTTTGCTTTGATCATACCTCATGACTCTGAAGGATTAAGTCATTTTGAAGACAAGTACTCCTAAATGGAAACAACAGAATGTTTGACTGAAATCAAGAAAACTAGGAATCTACTTTCTCATCTGCAGAATGTTTCTCCAGACCCATCAATAAAATTACTTGATAGAGAATTTTGTACCTCTAGGACATTCCCCTGAGAACAGGAGTGAGGATATGTTGGTGGGGCAAATCTATGCACAGGATGAGAACCCCATCTAAAAAGAAACAGCAAAGATAGCTTGTGGACTTTCTGGAAAAACTGAAGTTAATGTTAATGTCCTTGTGGAAGTACCTCCAAAGGAAGAGCACACTACATGATACTCCCCACTGACTTGAAAATTACTATTCTATGTGAATAAGCATTAATATTTAAAAAGCAATTTGAGATTATGTCCAGTTAGCAAGACAACAGTATTAACTTCCTCTCTAGGGCCTGTGCCTGCCCAAGCCAAGGGCTTTTGGCCTAGTTTACATTACCAGCCATGAATTCCCACCTATGGAACAGGCCTCAGATCATATTCAAAACTGGTTGGTTACATATGCCCTTAAATTTTGGGCCACTTTTCCACCAATGTGCATTTTTTTTTAATTAATTTATTTTGCAATACAATTCAGTTCTACATATCAGCCACGGATTCCCTTGTTCTCCCCCCTCCCGTCCCCCTCACCTTCCCCCCAATCCCCCCCCCCATTCCCATCTCCTCCAGGGCAAAGCCTTCCCCACAGACTGAGGTCAACCTGGTAGACTCAGTCCAGGTAGGTCTAGTCCCCTCCTCCCAGGCCGAGCCAAACAATCCTGCATAGGCCCCAGGTTTCAAACAGCCAACTCATGCAATGAGCACAAGATCTGGTCCCACTGCCTGGATGCCTCCCAAACAGATCAAGCCAATCAACTGTCTCATCCATTCAGAGGGCCTGATCCAGTGGGGACCCCTCAGCCATTGGTTCATAGTTCATGTGTTTCCATTCATTTGGCTATTTGTCCCTGTGATTTATCCAACCTTGGTCTCAACAATTCTCGCTCATATAAACCCTCCTCATTCTCGCTAATTGGACTCCCAGAGATCCACCCGGGGCCTAGTCATGGATCTCTGCATCCAGATCCCTCAGTAGTTGGATGAGGTTTCTAGCACAACAATTAGGGTGTTTGGCCATCCCATCACCAGAGTAGGTCAGTTCGGGCTGTCTCTCGACCACTGCCAGCAGTCTGTAAATGGAATGAGATCTACATGAACAGCCTGGACATGAGTGGCGGTAATGAAAGGCGAGGGTTGAGGGAAAGAGAGCTTGGGGGAGCGGGAGATCCCAGCTGGATCAACAACAGAGAGGGAGAACAAGGAATAGGAGACCATGGTAAATAAAGACCACATGAGAATAGGAAGAAGCAAAGTGCTAGAGAGGCCCACAGAAATCCACAAAGATACCCAATGTGCATTTTTGATGTCTTCACTGAAAAGCACGTGGCTTTAGTTGCATGGCCTTATAACCTGATTCTCTTTTCTATTCCAGTGTTCTCTGAGTTTGCTTCTGTGCCAGCACCATTCTGGCTTTATCACTATGGCTCTGCAACATAACTTGAAATCACACAGGGTGACACCCCCAGCACTGAATTTTTTTACTTGGGATTATTTTGGCTATTCATGGTCTTGTATGCTTCTATATTAATATTAAAATTCTTTCCTCTATTTCTATGAAGAATGCCACTGGAATTTCATTGACTCTCTAGATTGCTTCTGGTAAAAAAGTCATTTCTCACAATATCAAATTCTTCCAATCCATGACTATGAGAGATATTTGCTACTTCTAGTATTTTCCTCAATTTTTTTCCTTTATGTGTCTTACCATTTTCATTGACAAGGACTCTGACATCCTTGGTTAGGTTTACTCCTAGATATTTTTTTAAGCTATTTTGAATGGGAATGTTCTCATGATGTCTTTCTCTGCATGCTTGATATTGGTACATAAAAATATTCCTCCTTATCTAAGATTATTATTGGTTGTATTTATATTATTTTTTATATTTCTGTAGTTTTATTTTTGTGCATCTTTCCTGGATATTGGTATTTTATTACTATTGGCATCATGAAAGGAATTTGAAATGGCTTCTTCTACTTCTGATTTTTAATTGTTAATGTAATAATAACAATTTAAAGAATATTAATTTTTAATAATACAGGATTGACTGTAAATTTTTGAAAGTGTGGTAGATTCTGCTGTGAATCCTTCTCTGCCTGGATTTTGTTTAGTCGGAAGTCTTTTTGTTACTCTTTCAAAATTCTTATTTGTTATTGTTCTGTTCAGGTTGATGATCTCATTTTGGTTTTATTTTTGGTAGTTTGGATGAATCTGGAAATTGGTACATTTCTTTTAGATTTTCCAAGTTAATAGAGGACAGGTTTTTTAAATAATTTTGACCACTTCATTTCTTAGATGTTTTTATGTGTATTGTTCTTTTGCCTATATGTGAGTCTGTGTACCATGTTCATTCAGTACCCATGGAGGCCAGAAGAGGGCCTGGATTCATAAACTGGTATGAGCCACCATGCAGGTGCTAGGAATTGAACCTCAGATCTTCTGGAAGAACAGCCAGTGCTCTTAACTTCTGAGTCACCTCTCCATCCCCGGAAAAAAGGCTTTGAAAGGCATCCCTATGTTAGGTTTTGAATTTCTTGGTGTCTCTTATAATGATTTCCTGTTCATCTCTTCTTTTAGTTTGTTAGGTAAAATTCTGTTCATTTATCTTCTTAAATAACCATCTCTTACATTCATTGCTTCTTTTTAGTGTTTTATTTGTTTCTATTTCATTAATCTCTGGGCAGGTGGACTTCCTTCTTTGTTTGTGTGTCTAATGTCATATTCTAGACTACCTTAGATAGGACCAATGCCAGAGTTGTGTGGTGAGAGGTAGGCCAGTAAAGCTGGCATATGAGATGCTAGACTGGGCTTTCACCAGCAAAGCCAATGTGAGCCATGGCCTGGAGCTATGCCTACGAGCGGGAAGATGGTATTAAGGGAGGAATGCACCAGCTAACGTCAGAGCCTGAGGGTCCAGAGTAGGTCTTTAGGTGTTGAGATGGCAGCTGTGGGTGTGGATGTGACCATTTTCACTTCTTAATGTACACCAATAATTTTGAGTATCTAAGCAGTAATGAGGACATATAATAATTAAATGATTAGAAGGGTTTTTTTTTCTGTGACAGTATCTGGTTACTATTAAAAGACAAGAAGTGGTTTGAAGACATGCACATGAAAACAAAATGAGAGTGTAACCAAGCAAATGTATATTTTCTCTTTCCTATATGCAGAAAATAACTCAAGATCAAGAAAAAACTAAATGTGATAGTGAATATACAACTGTCCATTTCCAGCCTCCCTCTGAGGATTCAAATGAAAAAAAAAATGGGCCCAGCTTGCTACAACACAGTATTCATTTCTTAGCCATTATGCCAGGAAAAGAGTAAAGGAGAGGATGAGAGACAGTACTGAAAACTCTGAATCTGATGCTTCTGATGAAGAACCACTACCTAGGACCGTTGGAAAAAGAACACACTCAATGGTAAGTAGTCCCCACTTATGTAAAAAGTGCTCTATTTCAGGATGAGAACAAAGATGAATGTAGGTACCGCAGAGAGTTTCTAGACTAAAAACCCAGCTTTCAATATACACTAGCACCTCCTTGTTCTCCTAGTCATGGGAATACTCTTGTCAGTCATTGTCCAAGCTTTACATGCAAATAATTCAAACTTTGAAAATAATACACCTTAAATCTGCAGTGGTTTAAACACGAATGAGAATCCTAGCACTGACACAAAAATAAATGCTAATAACCACAACAGTAGTAGTGAGGGAACTGGGAGTCGATACAGATGAAGTGATATTTGATGTATGTGAACCAAAACAAAGCAATTGTAAATGTGGTATTAGACATATTCCTAAATCTAATAAAGTCAAAGTACAGTCATTTATGTACTTCAAAGAAATTATTTTATTTTATTCCAATAAAAAGACACCATATATCTGTAGTTAAAGATCATACACACACACACACACACACACACACACACACACACACACATACTCACACACAATTGAATTCTCAGATTTTTCTTTGTCCTGTTTTTACTTTAAATGTTTCAGAAATTTGTCTAGATTTGCATTTCTTTTTTCGTTTCATTGAGAAACTCACACAATGTATTTTGATCACAGTCATCCCACAGCTCCTCACAGATTACATCCCCCTCCCTACTCACCTAATTTTGTGTCTGCAGGTTTTTTTCTAAATTCTATCAAGTCACCTTTGTGTTGCCACATATTTGAGCATGGTCCACCTACTAGGGCCTTCATAGACCTTTAAAGAAAACTACCTTTTCTTCTCCTAGCAGCAATTATTGCCAATACCTCCTCAGTAGGTGTTCACCTCCCCTCTTCATGCAGCGTTTTTCTCTAGTTTGAGATCGCACAGGTCTTGCACATGCTATTGCAACTTCTGTGGAGTTCATATGTGCAACTACCCTGTTCTGTCCAGAAAACATGTAGTTATCCATGACTTCTAGATCCTACAGTCTTTCTGCCACATCTTCTGCAGTGATGCCTGAGCCTTAGGAGAGAGTGTGAAATAGGTATTTCATTTATGGCTGAGCATTCTGCAAAGACCAGTTGTGAGTCACTTGTAATGACTGTTCCTGGCTTCATCCATTTACATGTGGATTTTATGTCTTAATTTTCTTATCAACTGAATGAAATCCCTTTGTGTAAATACACTACGTATTTCTTCTCTATTCATCAGTTGATGGACACATCTAAGTCTTTTCCAATTTACTGGAGATGGGAGTAAGTCAGCAATGAATATGGATGGTCAGGCATCACTATAAAAGGATATAGAATCATTGGGTGTATGCCCAGAGGTGGATATAGCAGGATCACGTGGTAAATTTATTTCTAGGTTTACAAGGAACATGTACACTGATTTTTGTAGTTGGCTACGCCAAGCTGTGCTCCCACCAGCAGTGAAAACCTGTTTCTCTTTCCCCGAATCCATGCCAGCATTTGTTGCCATTTGAAGAATCTTAGTCATTCTGACTGTGCAGAGATGAAATCTCAAAGTAGGTTTAGTCTGTGTTTTTCTGATGAATAAGGATATTGAAAATTTAAAAAACTTTATTGGCAATTTGGTTTTCATCTTTTGGGAACTATTTGTTTAGTTCAATGCCTTATTTTTTTTTAATTGGGTTGCTTTTTTCTTGATGTTTATTTATTTTTGTTTGTTTGCTAGATAGTTAGTTAAAGTTAGTTTTTTAGTTAGTTGGTTCTTTTTACATTCTGGACAGCAGCCTACTGCTACACAGATAGCTGGTAAAGATATTTTACATTTTGTAGGCTGCCTCTTTACTCCGATTATGGTGTCATTTGATGTACAGCGGCTTTTAAGTTTCATGTGTTCGCATTGCTTTTTGTTGGCCGTTGTGTTTGTACAATCAGGGTCATGTTCAGAAAATCCTTTCTGGTGCCTATAAATTCAAGTGTATTCTCTACTCTTTTCTCTACAAAATTCAGGGTACCAGATCTTGCATTAAGATCCTTGATTCCTATGGATTTAAGTTTCACTCAAGGTAAAATCATAAGAATCAAGTTTCTTTCTTCTACTTGTAGCTTCCCTGTTTTACCAGGACCGTTTGTTGAAGGTGCTGCCTTTACACCAAGGTGTGTTGTTGGCCTCTTTGTCAAAAAAATATGTGGCTGAACTAGCATCGGCTATAGGCTTCTATGTGGGCCCTCAAATTCTATTCTACTGATAATTGTTTCCATGGCAGCACCATGTTGTTTTTATTGCTACAGGTCTACAGTAATATTTTATTACATATGCATTTTGCAGCTAAAGCTGTCTTTTCCTCATGTATTTATTGACTTATGCCTTACAAGTACTCTGAGTACCTCAGGCATTGTGGAACAACCTGAAGACATTGCCCTTTATTGTTTCTTGGTATTTGTCTGGCTAGTATTCTGCTCTGTTATCATTTTTCTCTATCATAATAAGTAGTACCTGGTAAATATCACTGAATCACCAATGCAGAGGTCATAGACTCTTATCTAATGTAAATTATTTCAGCTCTTAATGATAACCTAGTGATTTGTTAGTGCCTGAGCACAGATATGGATACATTTAACTTTTAATTACCAATTATTTCCTTTTTCTCCTGTGTCCATAAACTTTGTTTATAAAGTTACAGTCAGTTTAAAACACAAGCACCCCAAATAAAGAACACTGAGACTGAAACATATCATATTAATCTTCCATCTTCTCATCAGTGGAAAATGTCCCAAAAACAAGAAGTAAGAAATAAATGTGATAAATGTAATATAAATACACATTTATAATGTAAATAAAATATACATCCACACAATCAGAGCATCTCTCTGCAAAAAAGAGTGAGGAGAACGAGGGGGCCACCTGAGTGCATTCCAGTATGTATTCTTTTAACAAACTTCTCAGCAAGATTTAAAGAAGAAAATATATAAAATGTATGAAAAGTCTGAAAGTAACGTCTGTCCTAACAAAGTCCCAGTTCCCAATAAGCCTAAAGGTAGAGCACACCTAAAGGTAATTCTTTTCCCTCTGATCTAAAAAATTGCATATTTGATTGTGTAGGAAAAGTTGCATCTGGACTGACTGTCTCTGCAGTATGGTGGATACTTTCCAAACATCAGCAAACCCAAATCATGAAAATAGCTTGTGTTTCCTCTATGATCCTAGTCCCAGGAATACACTGGCTAGTCATCATCTAAGGTTTATGCAAAAAAAAAAAATGAACTACATTCTGAGGGTTACAAACTCAAAAGCAAACATGTTTTTAACAACATAAAGTAAATTAATGCAATAATTCTGAGTAAAGAATAGTAAAAATATAGACCCAGGAGTCAGTACAGCTGACAGGAAAATAACCAACATGGTGGCTCTGCAAGTGATAACACAACAAAGCATGTCAGAAGGAACTGGAGATTAGCCAGTAGACACCGGACAAAGTACAGGAAATCAAAGGCACCCAGCCTTCCAGGGTCACGTGACTGAAATAAACATGACTACATGTTTTCCCACTGGAGACTTAACTCCTGGAATAACTGAATACTCTGGCATGTTCCTCCCTTGCTTTTACTTAAATATTCCAGAATTTGTATAAATTTGCATTTTAAAAGTATACGTTTATTGAATTTGACATGTGTCTACCTTCTTCAAACCAGATGCACCTTTTACAAGTAAGTCCACCTTTCACTATGTGCATATTGACTCAGTTGTCTTTTCTAAGTTTTCCGGGTGCCTCAGATTTCAGCTAACAAACTGTAGACACTAGTTTATACCATCGCCTGATTCCTGCCTGCATATCATCCTGCTCTATTACCTGTTTTCTCCATCCAAGTAAATAACACCTTGACGTTGAAGAGGAACTTCAGCTGAGAAAATGTCTCCCTCAGCTAGCTTGTAGGCAAGAATGTGGAGCATTTTCTTGCTTAATGATTGATGTGTGAGGGCCCAGTTCAGGAAGGACAGTGCTACCCCTGGGCAGACAGTCCTGGGTTGTACCTGAAAACAGGTTGAGAAAGCCATAAGGAGCAAACCAGCAAGCAGCTAAGTCTCCATGGCTCCTTCTTGAATTCCTACCTTTCAGTTTCTGTCTTGATTTCCCGTAATGAATTGTGACCCAGGGTATAGAAGTCAAATAATTTCTTTTCTCTCATGATGATTTTGGTCATATTGTTTTGTCACAATAACAGAAAGAAAACCAAGACATCCATTAAGCCATCACCCTAGCCTCATCTTGGAGCTTTATTGAGAAAACTGGATATTAAAACAAGAAAAAATTTCACATGCATATATTTACGTTGTACACACTATTTCAAAATTAAGTCACCAAAAGAGACATGTGGCCCAGAGTGCATACACATAGTTGCTTAATTAAACTGAATTCACCATAAAAATTCCAGAGATTTCTTCAATAATCTGGATTTTCAGTTACCCATACAGAACTGAATCCAGTGTGTTTTGAGCCATGCCATTGATCAGTATCCATGCAGAAGGTTTCCCTTTTATGAGGCACACATGAACACTGGTTTGCAAAAGATCCAATTTGTACTCTTTCCTTAATATTTTCTGAAATAACCTAACTACATCATTACTTCCCTTCCCTTTCTCCCCCAAACTCCAGCTCTTCCCATAGATCCCGCCATGCTCTAAAATTCATAGCCTCTTTTTCTTTGTTATATAGACACACATCCCTATATATGTTAATGCAACCTGCACAATCAGTATGATGTTACGTGTTTATATAATCTCAGGGCTAATCGTTGGCATTAGCTAAAGCATTGGGGGAGGCTTTTTCCAGGGAAGACAGTTTCTCCCCTTCTCAGCACCCCCCACTTGCCCATAGTTCTTTATATACAGTTGAGGCCCCAAGAGCTTCTCTCCTTCATGTCTTGCTGTCATCTTTGTTCAGATCATATGGAGGCAGTCATATTGATAAAATTCAAAGATTGAGTGGGGCGGTGGTGGTGCATGCCTTTAAT